GGATGAGCTTGGAAATAAGTCCTCAGCTTCCGAGCTGCGTGAACTAGCGCCAAGACATATCGCTCTATCGCCGAGTACCGGGATTCGGCCCCCTGCAGGGCGCGACTGACATAATACACTGGCTTCTGCAACTTGTCCTCCTCTCGCACCAGCACTGCGCTTACAGCCCCCTCTCCCGCAGCTAGGTAGATGAACAAGGTCTCCCCCACCTCAGGAGAGGTCAGAGCTGGCAACCTAACGAGATGTTCCTTAAGCTCGTCAAACGCCTTCTGGCACTTCGGGTTCCACTCGAACTGCCGACCTCCTTTCAGGGCCTTAAAGAAAGGTGACCCCCGAACTGCCGATTTGGACAAGAACCTGTTCAAGGCAGCCATCCTTCCTGTCAGACGCTGCACCTCTTTAATATTCCGGGGTGGAGCCATATCCATGATGGCCTTAACCTTGTCCGGGTTGGCTCTCACCCCCTCTTTGGAAATCATGTACCCCAGAAATTTTCCCGACCTGACCCCAAAAGTGCACTTCTTTGGGTTTAGTCGCATGCGTGAGTGTCGAAGGATCTCGAAAATCTCCCTCAGGTCGGAGACGAACTGTTCCTGGGTTCGGCTTTTCACCAACATATCGTCCACATACACCTCCAGGTTTCGACCGATCTGATTCCTGAACAACTTGTTTACCAGCCTTTGATAGGTTGCGCCTGCATTTTTTAAACCAAACGGCATGGTGACGTAACAATATGTGCCATCCTCGGTGATAAACGAGGTCTTCTCCTGGTCCTCCTCATCCAAAGCTATCTGATGGTACCCCTTGAAAGCATCCAAGAAACAGAAGATCTCATAACCTGCCGTTGAGTCCACGAGCTGCTCAATCCGGGGAAGTGGGTAACAATCTTTAGGGCAAGCTTTATTCAAATCCGTGAAATCCACACACATCCTCCAGGCTTTCTCCTCCTTTTTGACCAGCACAGGATTAGCCAACCAGGTCGGGTAATAGACCTCCTTAACGATCCTGGCCTCCAGCAGCTTGCCCACCTCGCTTTTGACGACCTCCTTTCGTTCAGGAGCAAAGTTCCTTTTCTTCTGTTTCACGGGTCGGACGCTGGGATCCACCTGTAGCCTATGAACCGCCAGCTCGGTGGGGATTCCTGGCATGTCATCAGCACTCCAAGCGAAGATCTCCGCATATTCCTCCAAGAGAGCTTCAAATGAGTTCTTGACCAACTCGGCTAGGCCCGTGCCGACCTTCACGGTGTGCTCAGGTCGGCCCTTCTGGACGGGCAGATCGGCTAATCCCTCGTCAGTTTCCAATCTCTCTCCCTTCTCCATGGGCTCCCAGGGTTCCAAGCAAACTGTCTGGGCTACTAACTTCTCTTTACCCTTGAGGGTAGCAATGTAGCATGCCCTGGCCACTTCCGGATCCCCGAGCACCTCAGCCACCCCCTCGGGGGTGGGAAACTTCATGCTGAGGTGCAACGTAGAACAAACAGCTCGGAGGGCATTCAGTGTGGGCCGTCCCAAAATCAAGTTGTATGACGACGGCTCCTTAACTACTGCGAAGTTCACCGGAACAGTTCGGCACTTCGGGGATACTCCGACCGTAACCATGAGGGTGATCATTCCTTCTGGCCTCACGGGAGGGCCTGCGAACCCGATTAATGGAGTCCGAACCGGGACCAGCTGCCTATCCTCCAGCTGCAGCTCTTTAAAAGTCTTGTAATACAGCACGTCTATAGCACTCCCGTTGTCTATGTATACCTTCTTCACCTTATAATTGCAGGCGATGACCTCAATCACGATAGCTTCGTGATTATTGGAGGCCAGAGGGACTGCGTCCTCTGGTCCATAGATAATCTCCTCATACATCTTCAGACGCTTGGCCGAGCTCTCCCCCGCGGGAGGAGGTCGATTGTGCCGCCGAGCTGTATGGCTATCCCCGCCAGCCGGTCCTCCTGCAATGGTATTAATCACCCCGGCCAGATTCTGCGTTTCCTGTTCAGGAGCTCGATCATGAGGCCCCTGAGGCCGATCCCGGAGGTAACTTGGTCGTTCTGACCTGGACCTCCCTCGCTGCTGGTCAGCTCGGTCCTCTCGTATGAACTGCCCGAGGTGACCTCGTTTGATCAGCTTCTCGATGTCCTTCTTGAGGTGGCGGCAGTCCTCCGTGTCATGCCCCACATCTCGATGATAGGCGCAGAACAACCCTTGGTCCCGTCTGCTTTTGTCCCCTCCCAAAGGTCGAGGAGGTCGGGAGAGCCCCTCCTGTTCCATGACCGCCAGCACCCGAGCTCGAGGTGCAGTGAGATTAGTCCAGGGCTTATCTCCCCCACTTGGACGGCTCCTGGGGAGGCGATCGTAAGTGCTCTTTCTTCCCTGGTTGGGACGAGCCTCCACCTGGTCGGCTCCCCTCCTACGTTTGTCATCCCTCAGCCTTTCTTGCGCGCTCTTAAGGCGATTAGCCTCCTCCGCATTGGCCTTCTCATGAGCTCGGTCCAGCATTTCCCGTACCGACTTGGGAGGTCTCTCCACGAGCTCGGTGTAGAGCTTCTGCTTGCGCAGCCCGTTAATGAAGGCTGCCATAACCACCTTGTCATCTCGATCCCTGACCTGAAGGGACTCGTTATTGAAACGCATCATGTATTCACGTAGGGATTCCTCAGGCCTTTGCTGAATGGTCATCAGGTGCGCCGTGCTCTTGGAGAAGGCTCGTGATGAGACAAACTGGGCTGCGAACAGCCGAGCAAACTGAGCAAAGGACCTAATGGACCTGGGGGGGAGCCCTTGGAACCACTGACGTGCCTTCCCCTCCAGAAACATGGGAAAAGTCTTGCACCTGACCGCATCTGCGGCAGTTTGCAGACGCATTTGGGTCAGGAACGCAAACAAGTGATCCTCCGGATCCGAGGTCGCATCGTAAGGCTTCATGTTGGGTATCTTGAACTTCGCGGGCAATGGATAGTTCTCTATATCTGGCACGAAAGGGGACGCGATGTACCTGTCCGCCTCGGCATCCAAGAGCAGGTCCAGCTCGTCTTGCACCTGGAGCTGCTCTTTCCGAGGTGAGGGTTCATCCCTAGAATACCTCCGGACAGGCTCCGGGTGCTCAGTTCGGGAGTGCTTGTGAGTGGGCTCCCCCACGTCGGCGTGCTCACTTGAGGGCTCCCGGCGCACGCGTTTGAGCTGGGGGTTGGGGCTCCCCGCCCTGGACTCGGTTGGACCCTCCGAGTTCTTAGGCTCCTGGCCCAGAGGCCCTCCTGTCTGCCCCTTGAGGTAATTCACAATGGCCTCGAAAGTGGGCAGGTTCCCTGCTACCGCCTGAACCAGTTGTTCCGGCGGGATCCGCGAGAGTCCCGTCCCCTCGCCTCCAGGGGTCGGACTCCGAGCAGACTGTTGGGGGCCGCTTCCTCCGTTCCCCTTAGAACCATCGGCATTCCTCTGAGACCTCGTCTTTGGCATCACTCGCAAGAGAAGTTACGTGTTTCCCACAGACGGCGCCAATTGATGCGACTGCCAAAAACCAGATCCGAGTTGGGCTGTAGCGAGCCGAGCTGAGCAGGCGCAACCGACCTGAGAGAGGAGGCCGAGCTAGCGTACCTACAAGGGAAGATCAAGTGCGGGACTGATGTCCCCGGAATATCTCCGACGATCAAGTCAGTGAGCTTATACTCGGAGCAATAGTCTAGAATACTTGTGTTTGCGTACCTTGTATAGTCCTTACGCTGATTATATATAGAGCAGAATGGGTTGCAGTTTCCTTATTGGAGTCAGCGTCCCCTTAGGGTTCGGAGTCTTCTTAGGGTTTCGTGCGGCGGCTCCTACAAGTTCGGAGACGGCGGCCCATAGGCCCATCTCAAGAATCGATAAGTAAGGCCGAGCTGGCCTCCATATGCCGAGCTTGCGCCTGCGAGTTGCGAGGTCTCACAGCCGACCTGACGAGCAAGACCTGCCGAGCTGACACGTGGCACGCGCAGGTTCACCCCACTACACTGACACGTGGCACGCCTCGGACGACCTCACGGAGTGCGGAGCGAGCTGAGGAAGACTGGAGGAGAAGAGAAAATGAGAAGGAAGGCTTGAAAGTGACGTTTGGTGGGGCCTATTTATAGGCTCCCTGGGCGGGAAGCCGGAGAGTCCCGAGGAATAAATTCGGATTTATTGCAAAGGAGCAGTTACCTTGGAAGACGCGTGAGCTGACAAACCGCCATCATGAAGGACGTGACCCTTGAAGTGACGGTTACGACGGCGGACGTGGCAGTTTTTCGGAGGAGATACGTGGTCGTGGGATTGTGGGTCCCGCACGAAGCCGACGTGACGCTTCGAAGTTTGGTCCAGACCCACATGGCTCATCAGTGACTCTAGACTCAAGGGGGCTAGTGTAGTGGGGTGAACCTGCGCGTGCCACGTGTCAGCTCGGCAGGTCTTGCTCGTCAGGTCGGCTGTGAGACCTCGCAACTCGCAGGCGCAAGCTCGGCATATGGAGGCCAGCTCGGCCTTACTTATCGATTCTTGAGATGGGCCTATGGGCCGCCGTCTCCGAACTTGTAGGAGCCGCCGCACGAAACCCTAAGAAGACTCCGAACCCTAAGGGGACGCTGACTCCAATAAGGAAACTGCAACCCATTCTGCTCTATATATAATCAGCGTAAGGACTATACAAGGTACGCAAACACAAGTATTCTAGACTATTGCTCCGAGTATAAGCTCACTGACTTGATCGTCGGAGATATTCCGGGGACATCAGTCCCGCACTTGATCTTCCCTTGTAGGTACGCTAGCTCGGCCTTCTCTCTCAGGTCGGTTGCGCCTGCTCAGCTCGGCTCGCTACAGCCCAACTCGGATCTGGTTTTTGGCAGTCGCATCAATCAGTGAAGATTGAGACTTGCTATTGACAGCTGAAGCAACTTCCGAGTAAATCCCCGACCAACCGGGCTAGCCCATGGGTTTCAAACATATAGAATAACAGGGGAGTGCAAGAAGATTTTTGGGCAGCGTGAAAGCCATTCTCCAGCTTAAATTTATGAACAAGGGGCTTCAAAGCAACTTAAAACTAGTCGCTCTTCCAACCACAGCTTGCCTTCCTTTCTTTGGAGTAAGCTTCCTGATACTGGTAGTTGCTTATAAGCTCTTCCATCAAGCTCTCCTTCCCATACAAGAACCTCTCTCTTTCTCTGTTCCTTCTCTGATTGCATAGATTTCTTCCCTCTATACAGAAGCAACCCCTGTCCTAGGTCCCCTACCTAGTGCCTGCGAGACCTTCCTCCTCAGTCGCCTCTAGTCTCTTTCCTTTCACCTGCCAAAGACCGACTTGAAATGATGTGTTTAAGCTCTCGCCAGTCTCGTACTTTTGAGGATATTACTACTACTATCGTCCTCACCACTACTTTCTTTCGCCATAAGCTTTAATTCAAAACTTTGCTTAAATCCCATTTCTCGTCAGTCCCTTTATTTTTGGCCTATTCTCCTGCCTCCTTGAAGTTTTGCCCCATTGATCAAAAACTCTCGGCTATAACTATTCTTTCAAAGTCATAGTAACTCATAGGATAAAATACTCCTGTAAGCTATGGAGGGCTGTGGTGGAAATATTACCGGTACCAGTAGTGTTTTGCTGCAAAACGAAAGGCTGCCCTGTTCTTCTCATGAAGCTCTTGATTCTCTCTGGATTTCTAACTCTTCTCCTCCTCCTTTTCATGGTATTCATACTGAGTCCCTTTTTTCTTGCTTGCTTTAGCATGTTGGTTTATGGTGTCTTGTTTTGTGCTGGTCTTGGGCTAAAAAAATATTTTGCTTTTTCTTTTCATTATTCTGCTCTGTACTTTCTTTGAATTTTTCTAAAGCTTTGATCAAATGGTATGCCAAATTCTTTAAAATTTCAAGAATTTTACTGAGCATTGTAGTCCATGTGATTCTCTTTCTTTTCCTAGTTTTTTTAGCTAACGATCACATTTTTTTACAGTTCGTTCATACGAGTAACTAACTTTTTTGCCTATGATGAATTGTTTGCATCTCTTGATTTTGTACTGTCTTGTAGATACTATTCTGAAAATCAAACAGTACTGTAGTTTGGCATGGCAAATTGTTGAACCAAGTGAGAGTTTCTGAAGATTTCCTCAGCCAGCTTGTTTTCCCATGGTTCTCATTTATTAATCTCTTTTAACCTCATTATGTTGTCCTAAAATTGGATTGTGGTTGTGAAATCCTGCAATTTATCCATAGTTGTGCTATTATTTTGCTTAGCCCACTGCAGAGAACAATGGATTTGGATTCTAATTTCAATGTGACGTTACTAACATTTCTTTGTGTCTCTTGAAAATTGGAGTGAGTTTCGATTATCCTACTCTGTTTCAGGTTCTACATCCATGGTTAAATTCGGTGATGCTCGAGGAGAAAACACAAGAGAGAAAACATTCTTCGCACAGAGTGACAAAGGTTATGATGGCAGCGAGAGTTACGACAATTGCTTTCACCAACCAGAAAAGAAAAGGCGACTGACGGCAGAGCAAGTTCAATTTCTTGAAAGAAGTTTTGAGTTGGAAAACAAGCTCGATCCTGAGAGAAAAGTCCAACTTGCTAAAGATCTTAGCTTGCAGCCTAGGCAAGTTGCCATTTGGTTCCAGAACCGAAGAGCCCGGTACAAGACTAAACAGCTGGAGAAAGAATATGATTGTCTCAAATCAAGTTATGATAAACTCAGAGCTGATTATGATACCCTATTCAAAGAGAACGAGAGTCTGAAAAATGAGGTATTTTTCTGGTTTATATTGGTCATAGACATTAATTAAAGTTGTCCAATTTGGTTGGTTTTTTGCTAAAATATTACTATTTTGTTTTTTCCTATAGGTTCATTCACTCGCTGAAAAGTTGGTCCAAAGAGAGAGAGGAAAGGCTAAATCAGAGCCTTTGGATTCCAGTACTATCAGTCCATTGAATGCTGAACCCCAGAAGGCAAATCCTATTGCTCTTTCTCCTAACGTACCCGAAATGCCAGTTAGTGTTAAGCAGGAAGATGCAAGTTCAGCAAAAAGTGATGTCTTTGACTCGGACAGCTCACATTGCACTGATGGAAACCATTCTTCCTTGATGGTCCCTGATGATTCCTCACATGTTTTTGAACCAGAATTGTCAGATTTCTCTCAAGATGAAGATGATAGCCTGAGCAGAAGCCTTCTTCAGCCAACAGGCTTTCCACCCAAACTTGAATACGAATGCTACAATGATCTGCAATGCAATTCAGGCAATCTGGGATTTTCGATTGAAGATCAATCCACTTGGTTCTGGGCGTACTGACTTATCTTGGATGTCATGTCCCGGTTCTATATCTTGCTGTAAATATAGAGGAGATTTAGGAGTCATATCAGGCCCCGGATACTGACATTTTCAGCATCTTGTGGTTGGCTTTTGTTTAGTTGGTGAAAATCATGATATTTGCTCATTTCAGTTCAGCATAATAAATTTTAGACCGACTTGAGATAGTAGAAAAACCATCAGCTTTTGTTAGTTTTGTTGCGAACTTTCATCCTTGGATCGGATCACTTGTTTGGCGCATTAGGTTAAAGTGAATAATGATGATGAGTCACTCTGTCTAGGACGGATTTAAAACTGATCAAAACCAAAGGCATCTGCCCTACAGCACGTCCCATTAACCATGCATGAGCTTTTTAGTCTGATATCCCTTTTACGCTCCTAAATATATGGAGCAATTTGCAACCCCCAATTTATAGAGAGTGCATGGCGATTCACCACCACTCCCGATGTAGAAGCTTTGATCTGGACCTCGGCCGGCAAGGAACTTGGTCTCCTTGCTATAGACGGTTTAATTCATGGCACACCTTTGCTCCTTGTGTAACGATTGTTTAGGATGGGAAATTATTCGGGAGAAATTCTCTATTTTGTTCGTCATAAACATATTCTTCGAACATTTTTTTTTTATTTTTGACAACAAATTTTCAAATAATCTCTTATACATTCAACCAATTCTCTTTAGAGGAGTTGATCATTTTATTAATTGTGGGAGTGAGAGATCAATGGTTCAAATCTTGCTTCTCATCAACGTGCACCTATAAGAGGTTTATTCTAAATTCATACACCATCATACGGGTGTGTGATGCACCCGTCTGGTCTGATGGTGGTTCAGTCCCCATCAGGTTTCTCCAACTCAGTTGGGACACCCTATAGAATAGATTTTCCTTCCTTAGGAATAGGAGTAGGTTAGGTTAGGTTAAATGTGCCATTACGTAAAAATAATAATAATAAAATAAAAATCTCGTATACATTCATACGCCGGTGGAAATCGGGAATGTAGTGACCTTGAACCGGTGCAATCCATGTAGTAGTAATATAAGAACTTGGTTATGGTGAAATTGCAGCGAATGAACTCGCAAAGATTCTTGAAGAAGCGACAAAGTCATGTGGCACCATGACAAAACAGCGAAACCGAGAGGAGGAGGAAGAAAAGGGGAGGGAGGGTAGGAAAGCCAAAAAAGTCAAATTCTTTGAACGGTTCAATTCAACATGTTCTTCAATCGGCAAATGACTTTTTGGCTAACTGCGTCCCTTTAATGGATGTTGACATTCTCGTCTCTCAAACTCTGCATAAAATGCCCTAACGTGTCACGGGTCATTCTTAAAATGTTTCTAAGTTGAATTAAGGTCTTGAAATGAAATATCTTGCTAATGCATTGGGCTTACACGTGGAATTCCGGTAATCATTGGTTGATTATACAAATATTAGAATCTAATCTCGTAATTAACCTATTCATTTTTTTAGTAATCGATGGTCAATGCATCACCTAGCACGTAACTTTGAAGTAACAGATGAAAAAATTGCTGAATCCCTAAAGTAGAAGCTTGTTCATTGTTTGCACTAAAATAAAAATAAAAAATGCATCCGCGAGATTAACGTGGTGAAATTGTAGCAATTACAGATTAAATTGCAATTATAAAATGTACTATGGTTATGGTTGATTTTATATGCAATCAGTACGATTGTTATAAATTTTTTTTTTTTTATAATTTGACGCACACTTACATTACTTTGTTACTTTTCATGAAATACAATAAAAGTTACGTGAGTGGGTGTACATTAAATTGTAAAATACAATAAAATTATGTGAATGTACATCAATTCACTCACGTAAAGAGTATAATGATTGTACTAAAGTCAACTACATCTACATTCTACCCTCTCTGTTGCCGTTGGAAGGAGGGGGGGAATTGTATTTGCCCGTTCCCGAATTCAACGTTGTGGAAAAGTGTCTCATAAGTTACATCCTCGTTGCTCAATAAATCAACCTCGAGTAAGATGGAATCTTGGTGCAGTTTCTTCCTTTTTTTTTTTTTTTTTTCTTTCTTCTTCTCTTTGAAGTATGCATCTAACGTTTCTAGTTGAGCTTTCAATTGGGTACTTGGATAATATATATCACTTTAAGGGATAATTAAAGTTAAAAATTAAGAATATTATATCAAATTAATCTTCCTAGTCCAGTGAAAAAAGCTAAAGAAAAAAAGGGTAGACTCAGACGGAATTAATTATACATTAGAAAAACAAAAAACAAAGAATTGAGAGAGCTGCTTAGGTCATATTTAGAGTTGAGGCGCATTTACACAGCACACCTAAAGCATTTTTAGGATGTTTTTGTAATTAAGAAACTCATTTTTTGATAATTTAAAATTGCTTATATTAAAGGCACTCGCGTCTTCCTAATAAGTCACTGCAACTTCAAATGAGGCATTATTTTTTTTTCTGTCCATTTTTTGACAATTTCTAGACTAATTCCACTCTTATTCCAATTCTAATTTATGTAGGGGGACCAACTGGATGAGAGAGAGAGCAAGAGAGGAGTGGTTCCCGCCTCTAAATCACAACTCTTGGCCTCTGATGCCACAGATCCATTAAAAAAAGGCCTTTGTGGCTGGCAAAGACCCTTCGGCTGTTGGCCGAGGCGCTCGTACTCGGTCCACCGGGCCGAGGAGATCGACTGGTGGATGCGGATAAAAAATACATAACAGGAGGGGGGGGTGGTGGTGAAACTTGAAAGCCTGCCTCGTTTTATAAGACGACAAATAGAAAAGTGCCACGTTGGGAAGAATCACATCTGACATGCACGTGTCGAGAACAGCGGTCACGTCAAACATGCCACGCAATTAAAGGAGGCGTACACTGGGGAACCTCTGAAGCCCAAGGGCCCAGCGAAAGGCCCATTGATGGTGATCCGTAGATCAACGTGGCGGGTAGTGCACGGAGGAGTCCAAAAGCTGCCCCACAACACAAAGGCCACAACTCTCTGTTTCACAAGTCTTTTTGTGAGTTGTTGCTGAGCTCTGGTTTCCAGGGGATTCAGATTTCTCTGATCATATGGTGAGATGAGGAGGGGGAAAGAAGACCGAAGATGAAGAGAGAAGATAAAAGATAAGGTTGGGAACTGGGGTTGATTGAGCCGGTGACCTCAACTTCAAGTTCATGAACGTACGTGTGACTGCCCAATGCAGCGACCGAATTAGAGAGATGGGTCCTCCCTGTATTTGGACTGGGGTTTTTCTGACTACTCAGAAATTGGGCTTTTGTCTGGTAGTCAGTTGTGAATCGCTCCTTTTTTTAAAAAAAAAATAAAAAATAAAATAAAATAAATTAGTGATAGTTCGAGAGATCACAAGTGACAAGTGTAGGGGCACTCTCATGGGGCCATTGTCCCACGTGCGTGCCACGCCGGTTTGTCAGAAGCACATTTAATTTAGGCAGCATCAGCAACCTATGCCATGAGGCTCCACATTCCCAACTCGCAAGTGAAATGGGTGGCAATTTGCAACTTGCAAGTGAAATGAGTCGATTTTGTTGTTTTTTATGGTTTAATATGGAAAGTTCTTTTTTTTTTTTTTTTGGGTAGAAAGATGATAAATATTCCATGAAATAACTCCATTAAGAGAATTTTTCAGTAGAATATTCCTGGGGGGAAAAAGACACCCCTTACATCATCAAAAGTTTTAGACCCCCACCCTATAGCGTGAAATTCGGCAATACTAAAAGTCAGCAGTTACATTTGCCATGTAAGTATTTATTAGCGAAAAAAAAAATCAGTATTATCATTAGCGAGTAGGATTACTCCTAATTTTACACTTTTGAATGCTCATTTCTTGGTTTTGATATGGGTTGGCACAGGTCTAAAGATACCCCTCATCGTCACTTTGAGAATTTGCCTATCTTCCGAACACTGTCGGCCTTTTTCTTCTATTCTTTTTTTTTTTTTTTTTGTCCCCATTCAAGATACCCGAAATTTATTGAATAATAGCCAGCAGCATTGGCTACAAACTAGTAATGTTTTTTTTTTAAAAAAAAAATGAGACAAAAAAGCAAGCCAACAAACTATTTTAGGGTCTATTTGAGATTGTGATAACTTTGCTCTTAGGGTGCTTTTAGAGGATAAAGAACTTAAATATTTTTGGTGAGCAATTTTTTGAATTTATGAGTAGAGTTTTTGGCTATTATCTCAAGCTCAAAATTGGCATTTTAAGAACAACTTTTGTTTTCAACAAATAAAAATTAACTTTAATAATTTTGAACTAAATGAAGAGATAAATATTTTTTAGAAATTCAAAATTACATGTTACCAAATAGAAAAAAAGTACTTATGCTAGCATACACTCAAATAATAGGATCATGCACTCCGTAAATACTTTAACCAAAAATTCTACTAATTCACATGCTTTTCTCATCGCAGCTCCAAATAGGCCCTAAATCCTCTTGGCCTGGAGAAGCCAACCTAGGAATTGTGAAATGTGGAGATCTCTACATAAATTTATCTGTTTATGAATCCATATTTATCCTAACCACTGAGTTTTTGTCACAAAAAAAAAAAAAAAAAAACTAAGTCCCTCTTTGGAGACGGTAAATCAGGGGTTTGAACCTTGGTGGAACTTGAAGGTCCAATTGACAGGGGCATGGGATTTTTTCATTTTGGGAGGGCAAGGGGAGGGGATTGGGGGGGTGGGGTCATTTCCAATTCCCACGTGAAACCATGATGAACCACTTTGTTGTCAACTCAATTGTTATTTATTTTCCTTTTCTCATCTTTGGTGATTAAGCCTCGTTGCTTGCCATGCGTACTTTGTAAGGGTCAGATCAGGCAGGTTTTAATAAAGATTGTTCTGACCCATTAACATCCTTTGAGTGATATCCGGGGCCAAATGTATGCCGACCTTGATTTATCAATAATAAATACCTCGAGCCCACAATGACAAAACAACAAAATTACAAAGATGGGTAAATCCAGGCTTCTTTCCAAGTCTTGCATTTACAGCATTTGCGCTGTCGATCCACCATTGGTCCACCCAGTCGCCGCCGGCTCTCTGATTCTTGATGGAGTTATCCTTCGACTCATGTGGGCATTAGATACCAGTAAAATCTTTACCGGAATTTCATTCAGGCGAAGCTCTGCAGTAGCCAGTAGGGCCTTTGTGGTGTTTGTTTTATGGCCATAGATTAAACAAACCTGCCCCATCAA